AAGATATGAATTATGTTGATGTGAACACCGACATTCCTGTTGATGATAACCATGAAAATTCGGAGAACGATAAACCGAAGAATCATAAGACTGTGAAGGACTGAATTTAAAAAAATGATTATTTTTGATATTTTTTTTTCTTGATCTTTACTTTCTCAAATTAATCAAGAACATAACTCACCCGTATTGATTAGGATATATTGATGCAAGACATCTACTAAAATATCGAACCATATCTTCATACTGAACATAACCACGTGGTCGATCTGGTGAAACAAATTTACACATAGCAAAACGAAGTGTATCTTCTTGTAAATTTAACTGAAAAGAAAATCATTGTACAAGAATAATATTTACCAACAAAAAACAAAAAAAAGAAAGAAATTACTCCAAGTTGATAAGCCAGTGATTGAATTACTGAATAATGTACATAACTTGATAAATTTGGATCATATGCTGTTAATTCTTGATAAAATAATTTTAATTTATCAACAACTGTTGAAGATCCTAATTGATTATAAATTTGTTCACATAAACGTTGTTCTTCATAATCAGTTAATAAAATAGGTTCTTCAGGTAAATATATATCAATATTATTCATTATTGGTTGTGGCTGTTGTTGTTGCCGATAATCATAAGAATTTTGTGTAACATTATGAAAATTTAATGGTTGTATGTTTTTAGATATGGATTCATTAATAGGTACTTCTTGATCTTTAATCGTTTGTTGTTGTGGAACATCCGTTCTGGTACTACGAGCAGATGCCGCATTATTAGAATTATTACTCTTGTTATTATTGTTAGTAGTTGTAATAGTTGCTGAAGGAATTGGTGGTAAGACAGAATATTGATTAAGTGAACTATTTGTATTTCGAATAGGTCTTGCAATTTGATCCTGTTTAAAAAAAAATTGAACAAAATATTTCTTTAAAAATTTTCTTCTTCAATAGAAAAAAGAAGAGAACGAAATGACTTTTCTTTTTGTTTATTTGAGTAGCAATATTTTTCTTGACATTTTATGAGAAGAATAAGCTATGATATTTGATGTGTACAAAAGAACAACATTAAACTAGTATTAATACAAACGAATCAATATCATTTTGTAAAATAAAAGCTTAATATTGTTCAAATTGAATAGGGTAAAGCAAGAGAACAACAATTGCTACATAACAAAACAATTGAAATAAGAAGTTTGAGAGAAAAAACATGTGAACAATTTTCAATAGTTTGAAATGTTTAATTATATCACAATATATAAACATATCAAGCAAAAGCAAATAGTTCCTTTTTGAAAGAGAAACAAAAGGATTTTTTTCATTGGCTTGAATGCCATTAAAATATTCAAGTGCTTCCAATTTTGTAAGATCTCATTAAATTAGAAATATAAATCTGATTTTATCCTTTTGCGGTAACTAAAGCCAAATGAAAATATTGTGTTTAAAGAAAAATGAGAGTTGCTATGCTTTTTTTATTGATAGAAAATTTTTATGTGGGCTCAAGAATAAGTTTGTTATAATAATATTAAGAACGCATTTTCTACGACAGTGAAAAGAAGGTACATGGAGAATTGAGTGTTAGTGTAAATTACCGGAAGTTTTTGCTGATACCATGGAATATATTCCTAGATAGATATTGTGATATTTTTTTTTATTATTGAATTATTTAGTAATTATCTTTTTCTTTTCTGTAAAAAAAAATAATAAAAAAAATTTTCATGCATACATACTGGATGTCGAATACGATTGATATATTCAGTACGATATGTTGTGTCAAATCTTTGCTTAGATGGTTGTTGCCATTGAGCATTATCATGTGCATGAACATTTTGGATAGCTTTTGTTGGTGCTAGGTCGGGATCACTAAAGGACATTAAAGTTAAGAATTTTAGTTATTGTAAATAAAAAGATTATCTCACTAAATAAGACCTGACACTGGAAAAAATCGTGTAAATGCCATTGAGAATCGAAATACTTAAAACGTCTTTTTTGATTTGAAAAAAGAAAAAGAAGTGATTGATCCTTTTAACAAATTCGTCAATACACCAGACACCTTCTTATTTTTCTTTACTCTTCTGTTGTATGTGTATAAGTATGTTTGTTGTTAACGTTCTGTCTTTTTTTATCGACGGCAAAGAATAGTAGAGTCAGTTGCTTGGGTACCTTTTTTTTTCACTGATTGCTAAATTTTGTTTTATAACGGAATGAAAGAAAGAGAAGACGAAGAACATATGTGAATTCTTTATTTGACTATGTCTCGCAATCTTAATAGTACTCAGAGGTTTTTTTTCTCTTCCTTATAAGAATAACATCAATCATGAAAACGTGAATTAAACAAAAGAAAAAAATTTTTTCCTTATTTTTTTTCCTATCAGAATTAACTTATTATTTGCATAAGAAAGTGAAATAATTAAATGCATTTTTTGTAAAAAAAACCTACATATTTTGTATCGATAATGCAGACGGATGTTTAGGTACATAAGCCATTGAATCAGGCATTGATATATAACGACCGCCAATTATTTTCATTGTATGGTCAGGTGTATATTCAGTACCAAATGGTGCATATTTCGGAATAGCTGCTGATGCATAACTAACAGGAATTGGTAACTAGAAAAAAAGATTTATCAAATGACTAGTTTCAACTGAATTATTATTGTGAAAGCGCTAGTTCAATGTTCACATTATATTTCATTAATCTTCTCGCGAGATAATTATACATGTTAAAAGTTTTCTTTTTTCATACTAATTATTATTCAAATATGATAATAAAATATTTTTCAAAAAGTTTTTATTTAAAAGAATATAATTTATTCTATTTTTCTTTTTATAAAAGCATATATTTCATTCTTGAAATATAAGTTTGTCGAAATATGAAACAATAATAATTTTGAAAATCTATTTAAGTAAATACTTACCAATGGTTGTAAATGCATTCGTTTTTTACTAAAAGGGCCATGATGATCAATTAATGGTATATATGGATTATTCATATTTGTATATTTTCTTTTGTTTTTCAATTGATCTGTTAATAAGTATATGTTTGTCTATATTTGATTGAGCTAAAAATTTATTATGCATACTTTCATCAACAAGAATGTGTATAGTTTGTTGGTTGTCGACAAAAATAAATTTTGAATGGCATCATTCGATCTGCTTATTTTTGTTTTTCTTTTCTATATAATCATGTTTTCAATTTAACAATCTATTTCTTCTTCTCTCAATTTACACAATTTAAGACATCAGAACAACATCAAGTAACTAAACAACAATGAAACGAGACTAATAAAATAGTAGGTTTCTCGTTCCCCATTCCTTGAGATTTTTTTCGATTATACAAAAAGCCATTTAAATTTTACCAACAGGGTATCATGTATGCATTGTATTTCGTTTTATTAATTTTCTTTTTCCTTTTTCTTTTAAATCTTAAAAGCAACATTGTCAAGCTTCATATTCATCATAAATTTATTTTGCAAATCGATTTTTCTTTGGTTAGAGAAACTAAAGTGAAAGATGATAGTAAGAAGTAACTGTAAGAAAACATCCATCACTTTTTATGTAATCAAAATAGAAAGAATTGACATACTTTCGAATACATATGAATTCTAGAATCGCATATGTTTTAAGTGTTAAAAGAATTGTTTTAACAACAACAAAAAAAGAGAATTTACAATTTTTCAAATGTAAAGAATTGTTAAGTCAGAAAGAATAATAGGTGATCGACAACTAGGACAAACTGGTTTATTGCCAAAATAAAGATGTTGAGTACATAATGAACATAATATATGACCACATCCAAGTGCAATCCATCGAAATGAATATTGTTTATTATTAAAACATATAGGACAACGATAATCAAATAGTGAATATTTATTATTATTATTATTATTATTAGTAGAATTTTTATTTGTATCTGATATTGTCTTTCGAAATAGATTTTGTATTCTTGAAAGCATTAAACGACGAAATGGATTTTGTAATGAAATATTTGATGTTTCCAATGTATATTCACTCGATGATAAATGAGGATTTTGTTGAATTAATAAAGTATTATTTATTATATAAGACCAAAGAAATTTAAATGGACAATGAATAAATTGATTATTATTCATACGAAACCAAGATAATGATAAATAAGTAGAAATAGAAATAAAATCAATGTAAATCTCCATAATAAAGATAAAAATAAAAAATATACTAAATAGAACTGTATAATATCTATCGAATAGATTTAGCCAAATTGAAACGAGAACACTCGTGATAAACATGAGTTTTAAAATTCAGTTAAATAAACAGGCGCCATTATGTTTTTATAAGAGGTTCTTTTCACTCGACCTTACATTGATCATTTAGAAATAGAACAATCAAGCATAAGTTTTAATGTCTTCAATTTAAAAAAAAAACGTTCAGCTTTCAAATACAGAGCCAAATGAGTTAAACTTATGTGAATTTACTTTTTATATTTCTCAATTGCTCATAGTAATTTGAACATGAAGTTTTTAATTGCATTTCTTTGCTTGTCACATCACCTGAAATTCTAAAACTGTGTACTTATTCATTTAACCTTCACATGAAAAAATAACAAAGAATTTCTTTTTTTTTCTTGAGTCCTTCAGTGAAAAATAAACCTCCTAAAGTATTTTAATTATCTATTTAAAAACATTGTAAACAAATGATTTTTAACAAAATAGAAGTGTCTTTTTTATTTATTACTAAAAAAAAGATTTTACTAAATATGAATATATACATATAGCTGATAATACTATATAAAAGGAAGACACCGAAGCAAAGAAAAGAAAAGAAAAGAAAAGAAATGAAACGATGACTTATAATATTTGTGCTTTTTGATCGCTCGTGCGTGACTATTAGGAAAACGATTGGTATTTTGTCATTGAATATGACAGAAAAGCAAACAGCAATGTTAAATATTATTATTGTTCTCAATCATATTCGCAAGATTTGTATATAACTAAACGAATAAAATCTATTCAAAAATTGATCATCATGCAATTTAATCAAATACCATTGGTACCTGTAGTTCCCCAAATTCAACGGTAGACTAAGACAAAACATATTTTTACATCTTTAAAATTTGCTTTCTTTTCGTATGTCTCAGAGATCCAGCAGCAGTTAGATTTGGAATTTTTTTTCTTAGCGCACTTGCAATTCTTACAATAGGAACTGGTATTGGTATTGGAGTTGGAAATCTTTCTCATTATTGTAAGTTCTATGTTTGTCTTTATGAAATGTTTTATTCAACTATGTTTCTAGACTATTATCCACCAAATAATCAAACAAATGTTGATTATACTTTTCTCTACAATCTAACATTTCGTCAACTTCCTACTAGAACTGTTAGTCGTGTATCGTTTTTCATAAATGAACGTTTCAAAAAGAGAGCAATCAGTGCGAAAAACTGGTAAACTTTAATTATTCATTAATAAATCTTGGAACGAAATTCATACTTATTCTTGACAATTGATTCAAATTTAAATATACAATAATGTTCAAATATTTTTATCTATTCAAAGACAATAATACAGAGACATTCTATCTGTATTAGAATCCAATCGTTTGAACTTTGCTTTTCACTATGAATACAATCCTATATTTACGTTTGATTGAAATTTATCCAACAAATTCAAATCATAATGAATTTCAAATTTTTTAGACTAAATTTGTAACACTTTGATGAATAAATTTCAATATTTCGACAAGAAAACTATATCTTCTATTAGAAATTTTAGGAAAATCAATAATTAAAACAATTGTATCCTAGCATGGATAGTACGTCTATACAACATATGAATAATTTTGAATGTTACTAAATATATTTTAGCTTTTTTTTTTCTTTCTTTACGTTAAAAAAAAAGAGAAAATAGAACAATGTAAATCTATGATTGAACTATCAATAGAAAAAAAAAGATTCATTGATTGTATCAAGCATAATAATTCAAATTCATTTTCTTTTTTGCTTGTACTTCAAGAATAGCATCCATAAAATCTTCATGTTGAACTTCAATAGCTCCTCGACGTAAAGCAATCATACCCTAGAAAGAAAATAAAATTTTATTTCACTTTTTCATTGTTTTTTTTTATTCTATTTATGTTTATATACGAACAGCTTCAATGCAAACAGCTTTACATTGTGCACCATTAAAATCATCTGTACAACGAGCTAATTCTTCATAATTTACATCCTTGTTTGTATTCATTTTTCGACTATGAATTTGCATAATACGTGCTCGAGCCTAAAAATTAAATAGATAAATCGATTAATATCAATATAAATGTTCGATAAGTTTGGTCTATAGATGAACGCAAAAGGAATATCATTGTTGATTACAAATAATTATTTATTTCATATAGCATACATTGAAAAATATATTTGTTAGAAAATTTTTTGAAGTATTATAATATTAAAAAGAATATATCGTAATTCATATGATATGATTGATATAAGGACTAATGATTGTACTATATTGCTTATTTTTTTGAATCATCACAAATGACTTTGAGTATTACTTATACAAGAAAGTCAATATTATTTTCATCGTACTAAATAACATCTTATAGTAGTTTATTTACAAAGCACATGTAAAGAAAATAAAGAATTCACTATTTGAAACATGACATATAGAAACTTTTTCACGATGTTGAAATCTGAGACACATTTTACTTACATGAACTTTTTCGCTCTTATAAAAAGTTCATATCAGATCTCATAGTATCAGATTACTCACAATATGAATATGTAATATGATTAACTTTCAATCTCATACTATAGTTAATTTTGAACTATTAACATTTAATTATAAATTTGTAAAATCAATTATCACATTCGAATTTTATTTAACGAGAAAAATTCTTCAACTGATTAATCATTTTGGAGTCTAGTCTATGTGCAACATGTAGACGTTAATGTGTTATGAATATCTGGTAAAATATTCCATTTATACGATATTATTAAGACTATATCATAGTTCCCTTCAGAAACATGAAAAAAACTTATTTTCAAATTTTGACTTGAAATGTTTCATAGTGACAGATCTCAACGAGAATCGTTTGTTATGAAAATTTCAAGTCTTTAGATTGTTGTATATCAGGATAGGAGTAACGAAATGATTCATAATAAACTATTGTCATTAAGTTCTGTCTCTATGGGAAATTTCAAATCAACATTCATTTAAAATAGCTCATTAGGGTCTACTAGATTCAAAAACGATTAACTAGTTGAAGAACTTCTCTGATACGTCCTAGTAACTTATGAATGTCAAGACAAAATTAATTTCATATTACTGGCAATAAATAATTCTATATAGTTACCGTTTCATTTGGATGAGGAAATTCAATTTTTCGATCAAGTCGACCAGAACGTAAAAGAGCTGGATCAAGGATGTCAACACGATTCGTTGCAGCAATAACTCTTTAAGGAAAAAAAAATATATAAATATATTAGATTTAAAATTATTTAGTATTTATTTTTTTTACTTTATATCATGATTAGGTTGAAAACCATCAAGTTGATTAAGAAGTTCAAGCATTGTTCGTTGTACTTCACGATCACCAGCTTTTTCACTATCAAAACGTTTTGTTCCAATAGCATCTAATTCATCAATAAAAATAATAGCTGGTGCTTTTTCTTTTGCTAATGCAAATGCATCACGAACTAATTTAGCTCCATCACCTTAACAAATAGAAAACAAACAAAACATATAATTATTTTTCTTTTTTGTCAACTAATTTTCTTATTACCAATAAACATTTGTACAAGTTGTGGTCCAGCCAACTTGAGAAAAGCTGATTTTGTTTGTGCAGCACAAGCACGAGCTAATAATGTTTTACCAGTACCCGGTGGACCATAAAGAAGGACGCCTTTTGGTGGTTGTATACCAAGTGCTTCAAAACGATCTTTATGTGTCATTGGTAAAACAACAGCTTCAATTAATTCTTGAATTTGTTTATCTAAACCACCTATATCACCATATTGTTCTGTTGGTCTTTCATCAACTTCCATAGCTTTAACACGTGAATCATATTCAACAGGTAATTTTTCTAATACCAAATACGAATCTTTATTAACACCCTTAAATAATTTTTTATTTATGTATTTATGTAGAAAAAAATAGATTTCTTTTTTTTTTTTTTTTATAAATAAAACTTACAACTAAATCAGCTGGTTTTAATTCTTCTGGATCGACTAAACCAATGACTGGTAAAAAGTAAGTCTAATATGAAAAAAAAAAGAAGAAAAATAACAATTATTTATTCATTCAAATAAATGTACTTGTCGTGTTGATGTTTTAATAACAGCACATTTTCCTTTACGTTGAGCATCAAGATCAATATTTGCACCTTCATCTTCTTCACCTTGTGGATCAAGATCAAATAACTAAGCATTTATAATTAGATAGAATAAAGTAATTAATAAAACAAAAAATATTTACTTCAATAACATTTGATACAAGATATGGTAATGTTTTATTAACTTTTATTTTATCTTTATTTTCTTTTATTCTATCACGTGTTGATTGTGTTTCATGTGAAATTCGAACAATGTCATTTTTCATTATCTAAAATTATATTATTTTTCGTAAATTGAAATTTATGTATAAATAATAAATATACAAACTTTTATTTCATTATCTAATAAACGTGTTCGAGCAATTATATCTTCCGATGATAAACGTGATACATCAAGACCTTGAAATGCATCGACCTAAATAAATAATTATATAATAAATATGAAAGAAAAAAATATATATAATAAAATATTCACTTCAGCATCAGTAAATATTGCTTTCTTATCAGATTTATTCGTATTACTAGACGTTGTAGCTGAAGATGAACTTGAAGACATCTAAATTTTATCTACAATACAAATCATTTTCTAAACATTATTTTTTATGAATAATTCTTTTTTGGGTTAGGAATGAATTACTAACATATTTTGGAATTAAACATGAAATAAACAATTTCACTCTCAGAGTAACAACGTACAAACATCTGTATACAATAGTTTTTTTTTAGAGTTTTTGAATAAATCACGAACATCGAGATGTGACAATGCAGTTTTGCTGATTGATCTCAAACAAGCTATTGATTTTGTTTGAATTTATATGGAAACTGAAAAAGAGAGGAGATAAGGTTACATTTTGGTAAAAACGAAAAATTCTTTATCTCGTGTGTCTAACTGTTTATTTAAAATAATTGATCATGATTGTTGAAGAACAAACGAAAGTTGTCATCTATTTAGATTGATTTAACAGTAATTATTTAATACGAATGATGATCGAAATGTTCAATTGCAACATTCTTTCTTATATAAAACCATGAAAATAAATTTAGGATAGTGTATCACCTTTGAAGCGAAATTGCTTATAATTTTCGATAACAAATATCATCATACGAAATGAATTAACTTCGAAACATTCGTTTTGATATTATGTTGTTATTTTTTCTATTGATATCTATTTTTCATTTTCCTGAGAACTCGAAACTGTATCATTGACTTTTCAGAATTTAAAAACTGTTCCTTCTAAAAAAACAAAATGTATATACAATACAATTCCTGATAAGATCAACATTTCTAATCCAAACCCTCGTATTAAATCAACACTTACACCATAACTCACTATATTCTATCCGTGTGATTCACACCGGACAAAAATCCCATCTCTATACTATACCGATAATCAATCGAAAGTACTTCGATACTCAACTGGTTAGATATCCTCTGATCATCATTCTATCAGTGGTGAAGTCAAGATTGTGAGGTGAGAAGGAGAAGGATGGGCTCGGAGTACTCTCTACGAACCTTTGAACGCTCTGATGAGATTTTGGAAATTTACATAGAGGAATCAATAAATTCTGAGATTTTTAAAAATGAACATATCGGATTTGATGACCTATTCAGAATTAAAAAACAAAACATGCCATGTTCTAGAGCAAGTCGAGACGCGTCGAATGCTATATAATAAATCTTTTTTTCATAAGATTTTGAGGGAACCAGACTGGATTTACTGGTAGGTGACCATCGAGTGAAAGCACTGACCATTGTGAGCCTTGGTATCAGTCGATAGTGTTTATAAAAATAATTTTCCTATATACAGTTTTGTAGTGCTTTTCACGGGCTACAAGCTCAAATACTGAGCATCTCCGATCGTCCAATCTTTGATAGGGAAAAATACGACTTTTCGATGATCAACCATCGCTTTCCACTGGTGGTGACTGTTGATGAATCTTTGAATCCATAGATGTCTACCACTAAATTCAGTCTGGTTTCCTCAAAATCTTATGAAAACAAGATTTGTGATATATCGTTCGACGTGCCTCAATTTACTTTACAGCATGGTGTGTTTGGTTTTTTAATTCTGCATAGGTTACCAAACTCGGCATGGTCCTTTTTAAAATTCTCAGAATGTTTTGATCCCCCTAGTATTTTCTTCTTGATAGAAAAATGTATCAGTTTTTGCAATGAAACATTTTAACATAATTATCTTATTTTGTGGAATCCATGTGTCTCCAAAGAAAAGAAAATACATGTGTTAAAGCGTTCTATTATAAGGACTAATACATCCTTATATCAGACTACTATACATCATTCAAAAATCTTACTAGGAGAGCGTTCAAAGATCATTAAGACAGATGGAGGTGCGCCACCTCCTCCTAGCTCCGCTACTGCATTCTACTAGAGTATACTGATAATTGTTTTCTAATCGGTAATCTAATGCAGGTAGTGCAAATTAACGTGCAACAAGAATAGTTCACGAATAATTTTATTTCTTCAATTTTCGATTTATCGCGCTAATCCATAAGAATATGATGTATTCATTTTATGCTGTTTAATACCTATCAATAAATATATCTAGAATGATAATTCCTCAAACATCAACAGCAATAACAAAATGAGAAAAAAAACCAAAGAAACAAGAAAAAAAAAAGAAGAAGCCCACTATATTTGTTGCTTAGTGTTGCCTTTTCAAATTTTTTGTGCTTTAATGGGCAAATAATGCATACACACATATATATACACAGACACAGAAAAAAATATATATATTAACGTTCCCTTTTTTCTTTAAGCTAACAGACATTAATGGAAGAAAGACTTCAAGGAAAGACACGAAGAGAAACGAAAGAATTTGAAATCAATCATTTGTAGTCGTAGTTGTTGTCGTCGCCATCGTTGTCGTTGGTGCTATTTTTGATGGTATTGTCGATGTTAAATTAGTATATGTTATTGGATCATAACGATGAAGATTAAGTAAACGTATAGCTTGTGTTATAGATTGGGTAACATCAATTTTATTAATAAGACCTTGTTTAAGTATAATATAAAAAAGTTCATTAGTTTTTGATTGAAAATAAATAATAAAATGTGAAAAATGTTCAATAGCCATTTGAAAAACAATTAAATTTCTTGATAATATACATTTAATATATGTTGAATAGAATATTGATGAATGTTGAGGATATTTTTCAATATATTTTAATATAAATTCATATGTTTGTTCAATTAATTGTTTATTACCATTTAAAAGATAATTTGTTAATGAATCACGTAATAACACAATATGATCTATTGAAAGATCATCATCTATATGAGATTTTAATTCATTTAATGTTAATAATATATCATCAATTATAATTGATGATGTATATTCATCAATTGACATTGACAATTTCATACGATAATATTGTATATCAAGAAATTTATGACGTATTGAAGAATCGGATGATGATGATGGTTTTTGAGAATTATTATCGGATAATGAACGATCGACCAAACAAAGACGAACATTAAATGGAATTATTTCATTGGATATCGTATTTGTAGAATCTAAATGCAAAAAAAACCAATAGTTAATTTTATCAATCCAGTTTTCGTTTGATTTAAATGGATTATGCTTAACTAAAATTAAACAGAAAACTTCTTGGACATAAAGCGGTCAAACTAATTCATTTAATTTGAATAACAACGAGAAAAAATGGGAGTCACTAGTCACAAAAACAAAATCCATTTACGTAAGATACATGTTCTACTACAAAAGATAATTTCGGATAAGTATATTATCGCGACTTTTTATCCTTCTAGAATCATTATAGTTCGACCAAAGCTGTCATATAGCTTACTGATGTGTGAGTTTTCGCTATATATTACCTTAAGTTGTTGATTTAAGAAGATGAACTTTGAAATTTTATCAATAATTAGAACTGAAACTGAAAGATAATTACTTTAAGTTTTTTTATCAGGGGGTCAAACAAATATCAACCCGTTTTTTTCTAATCGGAATATATACTTTTAGACTTGAGAAAATTCTTTTCTTTTTTTTCATATTATTTAAACAATTAGAAGTTATTGTTAAACTGATATCTTCAATGGAAAAGTTTGTCTAGAAATATTATACAATCTACTTGTATTTTTGAATTTACATCCTATCGGCATGTCTTCTTTTTATAACACTGATCCTTGACATGTTTCATGTAACTGAATAATAATTGTACAATGCTGATAATATGAAAATAATTTTATTCACGCTAATATTAAGTGAAACATTTCACTTTAATTCTGAATCAATACTAATTGACCAACTATGTTTGATAAACAAGAAATCATAATTCATCATTCTTGAAACATGACTAAATTTATAGGAAATGTAAACAATTACGAAATTTATCTAAAATTTCTCATGAATTTCATATTGAACAATGTAATTCATTCTGAAAGAGTCAAACTTTTTATGAAGAAAAGAGAAAAAGTTATTTTGATTGAGAGGATGGATGGCACACACCTTTGAATGGGTGATTTTCTAAACTTAAAAAATTTTCGTTTGACGATCTCCCGAATGCTCTTGCTTCTACTATAAGTTATAATTATACAAATCTCTAGCTCAAATACTCTGATTCAATTCATATCTAATCTCTTCTCTTTATAAATTTTAATAAGACATAGAGAACAAAGAAAAAGATTATTTCTTTCATTTCTAAGTCTGCTTATATCTATCTACATTTCAAAATATCGAAAATTCTATATATTGAACTAATATTTATTTCAAAGACGTAAGCTGAAGGGATACTTTTCGAATAATTATTAATAGAAACAAAATAGAGCATGATGATATTCACCATTGAAAAGAGAAAATGAAATTGAATTGATTTATACACATATTCTGTCGAAAATATTTGTAAACTACAATTTCAAGTGTCTTCATTTATCTTCGTAAGATTGAAAAGTGCAACTCTCTATCTTGTTTTCTATTAAAAATTAATTATTTATAAGTCTTTTATTTTTGAACTAGACTTTAATAATCTAATAAAATTTTACCTGTAATATCATCATTTCTAATAGATTCATAAAGTATTTTTAATTGTTTAAGATGATATAAAATAAGATTATGTTTATTTGACATTAAATATTGATAAAATTCTTTATTAATTTGTATTTTTTCATGAATTTTTTCAAAAAATTTATTATTATATATTTTAAATAATGATCTATGTTGATTATTATGTATTGTTGAATATAAATAATTATAAATTAAATTTAATAATTTATCAATTAAATAAACTAAATCATGTATAGAAATGAATATTAATATATTTTGTTTCGTACATGTATTTAATATATTTGAATGTGTTTGTATTAAACGTATATATATATCAATAATATATTGAAAATCATTTTCATATATATTATCATATATATATGGTTTTAAACGATAAATTAAATCAAATAATGAAAGAAAAAATGTACGTTGTCTTGAATTTCTTCGATTAAATTCTTCAATTGTTAATGTTGATAAACGTGATTGTAAATCTAATTTAATTATATTTAAATGACGTAAAAATAATATTGGATATTTTGATACATATTGTTTTAATAAAAGATTTATTTCATAAAAATTTTCAATCGATATTAAATCATAACTATTTAAACGTATTAATAAATCATGTATAATATAATCATAATTTGTATTAATAAAATTAATTTGTTTATATTGTTGTTTTAATTCAGAAAATAAATTTGGTAATATTAAATAAAATTTTTCATTAAATAAATCTGATTGATTTATATATATAATTAAATAAAATGATGTTAATATATCTTTTATCCATAATATTGTATCAAAATCAATAAAAATTTTTTCTAAACAATTTTGAAATAAAATTTTTTTTTCAGAATTTTTTATTAAATAATATAATATTGTTTCATAACGTTTTTGATATTGTTCATAAAGATTTTCATTTGATATATAACGACGATAACCTTCATCAAGTATATAAATAATTAATGTATATATATGTTGATCATTTAAATTAATTAATAATTCATCATGACAACGTTCAAGCATTTTAAATTCTCTACCAGACCATAATGGTGATAATTTTATAAATGCTTCTAACATATCAAGTATTAATGTACTATCACGATGATTTAATAATGAACATTGAGATTGTTTTAATGTATGTGTTGGTATTAAACGATTATGATGATTAATATTTATATGATTTATTGATAAACGTATATATGAATTTGTCGAATTTAATGTTAGAAGATCATATATACAACTAAGAATTGTTGACCAATCACATGAATGAAGAAATTGTTTTAATAATAAACGTTGAGATATTGATGAATCTGTTCGTTGAAAAAATAATTGATGACTTGCATATATTGAACTATTCGATGATCTAATTGAAGAGAAAAAAAATTTTTTACTATATATTATTTAATCATTTCATTTTGTCTATGACAGATAAATATACAATTTTAATTTACTGACTATTAACTCAATGTAATTAATAGAATAAAGTGCTACAAAAAGGATAGATTTTGATAAAATTGTTGTAGTCATTGTTCCAGTAAACTAGTGTAATTAAAGTCTCAGTGGTAGAACTCATCACGTTGTTTCCGCGTCTGAAAATTTGGAATCATATTCGTCTGCAAAATGTTTAAAGTGCGCTAGTCTTTCAAATATAATAAATCGAAAGCATCTGTTTCATATCTTTCGGGATGATTGTCTAATTTTGATTAGAAAATATTGATTGAGAATACTCAAAGTACGATTCAATCGGGTCAGAAAATTTCGAGGATCACTGGCTGTACTCTGCGAACCCTATATTAGTGACTCATTGATAGTAATCACATCAATGTTACACATCCGTAGCTTTATTCGTGATGAATCAAAATAATTATTATGATCAGTTTCAATACATATCGGTGAGCCTTTTTATCAAAACTCTTCTAAGTAATATGTATATAAATTAATGTAATTGAATTTTCGTCAGATAAAATTGGTTTTTGAATTCCGAGTATTTTATTTACTTTCTATATCTTCTATTAGAACTGTCTTATGCAAGATTGTGTAATATTTTTTCATAAAAGACAAAATTAAAGCAATATTGAAAAGATTTTCTTTGAATAATATTTCTTTTTTTTTTGCATTTGATATTAACAATCTTAGAAAACAAAATCAACTTTCACTACTTTTTCATATTCATTAGAATTCAAATAAATAAAAAAAATTCAAATGATCAAAAATTTTTCTACCTTGAAGATTTATAATCCATTTTTTCTAATTGATCTAAAATCATTCCAATAGTTGGTTCGGATAATTTATATTCAGCTTCAACAAGTACATTCATTAATAAATGTTTACATTCATCTTCATATTGATTATTTAATATAAAATATTTATAAAATTGTCTTTCAATTCTACAATCATTTAATGAATTATAATTACTTAAAATATTTAACATATGATCAATAGTTAAATTTTTTTTAATTTGTTCATTTGTTAATAAATTTCGATTTTGTTTTGTTGTTAATTTTAATTCTTCATATTGATTAATCATACGTTTTAATTGTTTGATTTTTAATTGAAATATATTTTTATTAGAATTATTATCATTGTTTTCTAATAGATTTAATAATTTAATATAATCATCATTGAAATATTTATTTTTTATTAATATACTTAATAAAACAAATGAACTATTAAATTGTTCATGAAGATTATTAAAAAATTCTTCTTTAGATGTTGACAAACAACATTTTAATATTGTTTGACATAATTGATAACGATATTCATCAGATCGATTTGTTAATCGTTGTATTTGTATAAGTAATTGACGACGTTTTATAGATAAAGTTTTTTTATCAATTATATATTTAAGTAATTCTTCACATTCATCTAAATTTTTCCATGGAATATTGAAATTTATATCAGACATATCCATTTGATTTTCATTAGAAATTTCATAAGAAGATTTTTTAGTACATAAATCATTTATACGATTATTAAACGAATGAATTTGATCGGATATTGATGATGATATACGGGAACTTGTTGGTATTAAATAAACTTTTGCATCAGATAATTGTTGATTAGAATCATGCGATACACTAAGAAAAAAAAAAGAGAAATTATTAAGTTGAATAGAAAAATATTATTATTTAATTTATTTGTAAGCTACGGGAAGGTAAGAAGTATTTTCCATTAAAAGGCAATTTTTTTTTGAATGAGCTTATTAAATCTAAAGATACGATAAATAGGATTTACTTTAATAGAATCTTGTTACATTAAAGAAAAACGAAAATAGATTATAGCATTTTATTTGTGTTTTGCCTATCAGAACTAATGTACATGTTATTGTCTTTTGAATTTGTATCGAATTACGATGATTCTTATTATGGTTGAAAAAGTCATAAAACTACGATGTGGACATGAAAATCGATTTCAGAAGCCTTTTTTCGAAATTAAACTAAACTCTACTTCAAAATATCAATCTATTGGAAATAGAAAAACGACTTGAAAAATTTTCAAGATTTTGCAATATATATATATATATCAGAGGTGCCCATTTCGGCTGGTACTCTATTACATTGCAACGATATTCAAAGAGAGTTGTGAATTTTATCTCTGTCACTGAATTAAACTAGGACTACAGTTATGAATGCATGGAATTCATTGAGTCGCAGTGCTAAATTTATGAATATTGAAATTCATGGAGTTTTTCCAATGTTTCTCAGAGACTCGCTCTTCAAGAAACTAGCAACCATTATTTTGATTCTTTTTAGCGTTTATAGAAGCCCAAAAACAAAAATTTGAAAATAGATCTAGTCGAATGTTTTTTTTTTGAACTACTTTATATATGAAAAGAATTCTTCTTACCTATGAGATTTTTTCTTTTTTTCTGATAATTTTTTTAATTTTTCTCCAAGTTTAATAGCTTCTGGTAATTGTTCAATAATCCATCTATTAATTAAAGGAAGTATAAATGATGATTGTTTAATATATGTATGAATTTGTTTTGATGATAAATCAATTAATTGATTTAAACGTTGACATAAATAATTAATATTTTCATGTGATTGAACAGATATTTTAAACATTTTTAAACATGTTAATAAAGATGCTTGATTAATACATTGTTTAACTAATGAAAAATTATTTGATTTAAATATAAAATATTGTAAATCATCGGAAAGAAATAATGATTGTTCATTTTCATTATTTATTGAAACAATACGATAAATTGTTTTTGTTGAAGATGTTATAAAAACTTTTTCAGTTAATGTTGAATGTGATAAACGTCGTTTACGATTTGTTTCTGGTGGATCAATATCATCTATAGCAAATTGTTTAAAATGACTTCCTTCACTATCATCAATTGATGGAGTCTGAAAAGAAAAAGATAATTGAAAATCACAATGAAATTTATCATATATTGAAATTTTACAAAAGAAAAATTTTTCTATATGATTCAATCTTTTAACTGACTAGAGCGAACCGTTGAAATTTATAGTTATACATTACTCCTTTTCGACAGATTCTAGCCAGGGTTTTTGATAGTTCTAAGAAGTAAAGATATTAACAAACAGTCGGTGGTTATTCGTCTAGTAAAGAGTGGCTGAGAAAAACTGCTTTCTCTAATGTTGTAGATACAACGTAAAAAGTGGAGTGGAAGGCTACATCACTTCAGTACCTTCCATATCCAGTTCGATAGCTCTAGCTAGAATTAGACGACTGAAATTCAGACTTACAACTGTTGACGTATATGTACGAGATGTTCACTCTAGTGTAAGTTCAAAAGGATTAACATTAGTACTAGTCTACTACAGTTCGAAATTTTCTACTCAGAATCGTATGATGGATTCCAAGATACGAGATTTTTGTTTTCGACTTTTTGTATTCAGTGTAACAAATAGAAAGAATCTTTCTATTATGTAAAGCCCATTATAAATATTATTGGAAATCTTAATCAATGATATTTATATTTGTATACCTCTTCTTGCGTTTGTTTAACAGGTATTGGTGGATTAAATTGTTTAAGTGTTGTAAAACAAGGTGTAGAATTTGTATTAAGAAAAAATTGTTGAAGTAAATTAGCTAAATTATTTAATGTTTTATTAATTGTATTATTAAAATCAAAATAAGCTAAAAAAATTAATAATAATTCAATAAGTATTGTATCAATTTGTATATATTGTTTATTCATATTAGTTATCCATTGATAATCATCATTAATATTCATAGAAATTTGTAATTGTTTAATTGTATTTATTTGTTCATGATTTAAATTAGGTAAAATTAAATATGTTTGCATATTAGTTAAAAATTGTTCATCATAATTCTCATCGTGATTTATATCAATAGGATGTTTTAATGAATATTGAATTTTTTTAATTAACATAATTGTTATAAAATGAAAAAAATTTTCAATTAATTTTAAATTTTTTTCTTGTTTATCATATTGTATAAGTAAATAAAGTATTGAATGTCGACGATTTAATGCACGTGCTATATTTGATAATAAAATAATATCATTATTTGAATCAATATGACAATTATCAATAATAAATATAATTGAATAATGTAAAAAATAAATATTTGTTTCAAATTGACATGTTTCAGATAATGTTTGTTTAACTAATAATTGTGTTTGTTCTAAAGATTTAAATTGTGTTATTGTTGATAGAATTAATTCAATATATGTTTCAGGTAATTGATCATATTTTGATAGAAGATTTTCAATATTTTGTATTTGATGATTATCATTTAAAATTATATATAAACATAACCATGCATTTGAACGCATTGTTGATATATTTGAATTGAGACAATTGAAAAAATAATTTAATATACATGTCATATCATCGATTTGAGATGAATTTGAAGAAGATTTCTAAGTAAAGAAAGAAAAAAAAAAGAGAACATAATAGTTTTTATTTTCATCATATTGACTGTAGAAAATATCCTTCAATCGTATTGAATAGACAAGATCTAATAAGGAACAGCGCTGTTCTGAAGATTGAGTTTGTGCTTATTGTAATATATATTATGTAGCGAAATGTTTCTTTGAATTTCAAGATCTGCTGTATTCGATTCTCGTAGAGTTGTTATCATTTCAATAATTAATTCAATTTATTGAAAATTTGTTTTTTTTTTGTTATAGAAAATAAAAATATGACATCTAGTTTTATTATAAAACAAAAAATATTCTATCTCTTTTAATTTATTAGTTCGTACATACTACTCATAATGTCTGTATCAATGATGAAAAGAAATCTCTCATATGTTTGATTTTATTTCATTGAGATCTGAAGATGAAAGTCTCTCAACTAATAAACTACTTTTGAGATGAGCCTACATACGTTTTATCCATTCAAATGAGTCCTGAATATAATGACAAGAGTTTTTGCCTTTAGCTAATTTCTATATAAATAATACATTATACCATTATTTTTCAAATAAATGTCATCTTTAAGAAAATATAAGTTATTTAAAAAAAAAAACTTTCACAATAAACTATTGAAAAATCAGCTTTTTTTGTTACCATGGTATTCATTTAAAAAGAAATGCCATAAAAGCGTAATATCCCCGCACTAGAGAGCTGCGGGTCCTTCCAGACCCGGGCCCGACCGGGTCCGGGTCAGAAAATTTAGCTTTTCCCGAGCCCGGGTCTAAACCTAAGAGAAAAGTCAGACCCGGTCTGCATTAAGTTATGAATGGAAATATATAACAATAACAATTGAAGTCAACAAAATTGAAAAAGAAACAGTCAGAAATAATTTTACACTCATTTTACCTTTAAAGTCGCCAATAAAGAGCGAAAATTGTGTTCCCTTTTCTGTTCATGTACACACAGGGTGCCAAATATTGGTGAAAAAAGGATCGGGTCTAGACCCGGCCGGGTCCGGGTTTAGACTCAGCCGGGTCCGGATCTGAAAATATAGTTTTTCTGGGGTTCGGGTCCAAAAAAATATGGACCCGCAGCTCTCTACCCCGCACCCACACTCATTTTACTCTACATAATGCATATAGTCTCTACTGAAAAAGGATTTATCAGTTGGGAGAACTCGTGTTTCTAAATATTCTACCTGTGTATTAGATAAAATTTGTTGTTTAACCGATTTAATAATTGATTTAAATCTAATTAAAATAGTTTCAAGTGCATGTAAAGTTTTTTTCGATGGTGTATTAATATTATTTTTATTATTATAAATCATAATCATATGTTGAAAATAATCACATAAACAAATAATTGGAAAAACATTTAAACAATCAATATTTGAATCAATTAAACTAGTTAACCATGATGTTTGAGAATCGAATATATTTTTATTTTGTTGTTCTTTTCTATTTAATATATTTAAAATAAAATCTGGTGAACGACAACGACATAACATTGATGATAATTTATATAAATTATTAAAACCTTGTATAAGATTATAAAAATTTTTTTCGTTTTTATCATGACTTGATGGTCGTTTTATTTGTTGAAAATCTAATAAAATAATTTTACCTAATAATTGACTATTTGTTTCATCAATAATTTTAGGTGATGCTAAATATTTTTCTAATTCTAATATTGTATCTTTTTCTTCACGTAATTGTATACGTTCATTCATATAAAATTTTTCAAGATAATCTTTTGTTTCAATCATTGATTTAGGTGGATATGTATAATCACCAGTTAATAACATTTCCATAAATAAACGTATTTGTGGTACAGATAACCATATAAAACGACCAAATATATGTGGATCATGTGATGCTAATAATAAACATATTAAACATGTTTTCCAAAAAATATCTGTTATAAATAAATTTTTTGGTATTTGATATGTTAATGGAAATTGTATTTGTATTGGTATATGATAACGTGTTAAATCAAAAAATTTTTTTAAAAATATTTCACAACGATTTTCAGGTATACGAAGATATATTGATATATAATCATTTGACATTTTTTGTTCAACATTTAATGTACGTCGTACAATAAGATCAATTAAATCAACAATAATTGATGGATTTATACGAAATTGTGTTGTTAAACCAATTTGTATTATTAAATATAATGTTTCACCAAGTAATGGAATTTCTGATGATAAACGAAATAAATCATTACGTAAACCTATTGGTTCTTCAGGTGGCCAATTTTCAATACGTAAATATGAATTAACTTGTGCTGTAAATAATATACTATATAAACATGTAACATAATTTATTGGATTTATTGTTGATGTTGAATCAAATAAACGTGGTAATGTATAAAGAAAAAATAAACATGAACTACATTGTATATATGATATACGTTGTATAAATAATAACCATTGTTCATTATTATTTGTTATTGATGTACGTGTTGTTATTAAATTTGTATTTGTTGTATTGTTTATTGAATTAAATGCTTGAGCTGATGCTAATATTATCATTGGAATAAGATCACATATAGCATAAAGAAAACGTTCACGTGTTGACATATCACATTCTAATAAACGTTTTAATAAACGATGTGATGTTATATCATTACTTGGAGGATCCTAAATGAAAAATAAAAGAAATAATAGTTTAAATATTAATTATTTGTTAAATCCTGTTCTCTGCAATAGAAGACTACAAGTCTTCTATTACATTTGATGCATTATTCCTTCATGAAATTTTTCTATTGTAGGAAGAGATTTATACAATATCTCTAATTAAATAATTAATCTTACTTGTTGTTGAATCATAGTCCAAAATTGTTGTTGTAAATTATTTGAATAATGCATATCAATTAAATACATACAAAAACGCATTGTATCAAAATCATTTTTAGCATAACGCATAAGATCACGTATAAATGGTCGTATTAATTTTAATAAATTATCATAATCTTTTGATGTTGTTGTAACATTAGTTAAAAGAAGAATATTTTGTATTGTATATGCTAATGATTGACATGTATGTTCAGGTTGTGATTGACAACAAGCATGAAGTAATGATAAATTATTTGGATTTTTACTTGTTATTGTTGTTGTTAATGAATTTGATATTGGTTGTTGTAATTCATTATGAACAATAAAACGTACAATTATATCAACAAGATTAGCATCAATTTTTAACATTTCACGTATACATAATATATACATTTTACTTGTTGCATTTGATGCACGTACTTTAAAACGTAAATTAACTAATTGTTCAATAGCACGTTCATCTATATATGATATATCATTATTTATTATATGTCCATTTGTTAATAAATGATTATTAGTATTATTTGTTGTTGTTGCTGATGATGATGATGGTGGTGGTGGTTTAGTTAAATTTTCACATAATATTATCATTAATTTTTCAGCTGTACGATATAATTTGGGATTTTGTAACCATATATCAAGTCTTGATAATATATATAAACGTATATCAGGTAGACCACATAAATATTCAAGTAAATAAAGTAATTTATCTGTTTCATGTGGTTGACTTGTACTTGTTGATGATGTTGTTGATGTATTTGTAGGATTTAAATTTGTTGAATTTCCACTTGTAGATTTTATTTTAGCATTTGTTGTTAATAATGTTTGTAATAAATTTTGTATAGCTTGAGTACGTCCTTCATAACGTGAAATAATTAATTGATTATCTGTATTATTATTAGTATTATTATTATTATTATTAAGAATTGAATCATCCATTGTTTGTATTGATGATTCTGATTCAGTTGTTGTTAATGATAATGATTCATTAATATTATTACTATCATTACTTGTATCATCATTTAATGTTGATAATATTTGTGCTGTTGTTGTTGTTGTTGCTGTTGGTGTATTAGAACTTGAAATAGTTGGATAAATTTTTGATCGATCTAATTTCCATGTACATGGACGTGTATTAAAAGCTGTTTGAATATTTGAAACAAATAATCGACAATCAGAATTTTTTATCCAATTTTGTTCACCTAATGCATCTTCAACATAGACTTCGATGAATTCATCAGGCCAATGAGTTTGATCCTGAAATTGAAATATTTTGTTTTTTTTATTAGATTGTAAAAAAAAACAGATACTTTTGATTTTATCGGCTGTTTAGAAATCTTTACATACTAATTCTCATAGAATATTAAATGAAGATGTTAATAGTAACAATTTTCTTTTACTTATTTTCAACAAAAAATATTAGTTCAATTGACATCGAATGTTAGAAGATAAATTGTTGCTTCTCGAAAGAAAATATTTGTAATACTTTTTTGCAAATCTCGGATAAAATATCTGAAAGTACATGTGTTGTAAGATAAGATTTTTTTCGTATCCTGGTTGAGAGAGATTTTCTAAGCGTCACTCTCTCCTATCATATCTAATTGTACCCTACGAAATTTTTATCTCATCTTTTTCTTTATCTTATCCTAGTTAATAGACTTTAACAGTGATAAAATAGCAAAATAGTATCATGCTAGAGACGTCTAGGATAACTTTACTTATCTACTCTGTACGTTGATCAAGAGAAAATTTCTTTTTCGTATCGTAACCTGAAGGATAGGATAAGATAATCCTTCACATCTCTATCTGAAAGCGAAATTCAAGACGAATATTTTCTAATATCTGATTATATATTAACTATGAATAGATTCCAATCTTTAAAAAAAAAACGAACATTGGTTTGTGTGGCTTTTCATAGATCGTAAATGTAATTGTTCTGATAGTGATGAAAAAGAAAAAAGAAAACAAAGAATCAAACAATATGTAACAATTATAAGACATTTTAAACTAAAATTTTTGACTTTTCTATTCTTATTAGAATACATCAAATAACTAATCATTTCGTAGAATTTTCTGAATAAAAAAAAAGAAAGTATTATCGATTTTGTAATAATTTTCTAGAATAAAATTTGAAAATGTTTTTATATTGTTAAAATCAAATCTAAAACTATCTTAAACTAATTATCAATTTTAAGAAAAACAAAAGTTCTCTAATGAAAATTTCTTATTCATACTTTAAAAGCAAGCCAAAGTATATGACAAACAAGTGTATAAGGAGTTGTCGTTAATCCTAAATTATTTCCATTATTTATTGTTGGAAATGTTTTCATTGTTTTTGTTAATATTGATCCTTTAAGTAAATTACACATAGCTTTTAATACAGATGATAATCGAAAAATTTCTCCATGTAATGATACAGTCCATGCAAGAAATGGTAAAACAGTATAATCAGCTATTTGTTGTGTTGAACGTTTTGATGTTATTATTAAATAATTTATTGCATTGAGTACTAATTGTTCTAAACGTTTTTCATCATCCCGATTAGCTTTTATTTCCGAACGAAATTGTTCAGCATCGAATGTTATTAATGGTGTTGATAATGTTGTATCAAATGTAACAATATCATTAATTGAATTTGAATCAGTTTCAAGAATATTATTTGTTGGATTATTACGACGTCCAGCACGAACATTACCAGATATTTGTACAACTGTTGTTGATGATATTGAACTAAGATTTGTTGAAGGTGGAATTGAAGGAACTGTCGATGATATTCGTCCTAATGGTGTTAATACTTGATCAACATTTGGATTTGTTTGTCGTAAACGAGTTCGATTTAATCCTTCACGACTAGTCATATTTAGAAAAATGAATGAAAATTTATCTATAAACTATTATGATATGATTTTCATTGATGATATTATTCATTGTTATCAATAGAAATAATCTAAAATAACATCTCATAGTTTACATATTGATATTAAAATTTTTCTTAAAAGAAAAAACAAAGTGGAAGATCTAAACAATTACGCCATGTCAATTTTCTTTTCAAAGCTTTATCTGATACGTTACTTAAAATCAACTAGGAAGAGAAGAAAAAATCAAGTTGCTTGTAAACATATCGATAGAGGTCATTAACAATCGACTAAACAATAGTTCATGAATTGCTATGCGATCTTATAAACGTAAAACGAGCTTATATTTACAAGGCAACTATTCGAACTGATATCTAAGCTTTGAGCTCATATTGGGTTCACAAAGACGTCTCAGTAAGACTAGAAAAGTCTTAAAAGAATTCATCTCTACGGGTATCTGGGGTCGAGCTAGCATCAAATTCGAGAAACAGTTGCCCATATTTATTTAAGAATCGATTTCAAGGCTTCTATTTAGTATTTGAAGACGTCTATCCCATGGTATAATTCAATTTTCAATATAATAATGTTTAAAATATTTTTAACTGATGACACTTTTGAAAACAGTTCATATTTATGCAAGAAAGTTTTAGTTATTTCATGCTTGTAAAAATTGGATTTCAAAGGTATTCCTGATAAATGATAATTCATGTCATTAAAATTACACAAAACTTGTCGATTTTATCATGATTTATAAGGTTCATTAATCATAAGATAATATCGTAATTAGTCTGCAATTATTATTAAATTAATAAACTTTAGTCAATTTTTAATAAAAGAATCTTCAAGGAGTCTAGTACAATAATTATGACTATTGCAAAATTTTCTATATAAAATCGTTCATTGTTGTATTGTCATAACTGGAAGGGATAAGGTTTACTTTTCTCCTTGTTCTTGAATATAAAATATAATTTTTTATTTCAGCTATACTTGCTAATGAAATTATTGTAGATTTTAATCTAACTAAAATTAATTTGATTTACTTTTTGAAATAATATATTTACTGCTGAAGTCAGTTTTGATTAGAATAGTTTGTCAAATAAAATAAGATGGATTACACAACGACTGGACAAAAAAAAAAAAACAAAATAATCATGTCTGTTTTCTTATTGGTTGTAACTCAAATCAGACAGTATATATGAAGTCCAAGATTTTTATCAGATATCATTTCATGGAAATACTGAAAATATTCTTTTTGAAGGCAAAAATTATCATGATTGTCTTTTACTTGGTTTTTAGAAATAGAAAATGTATGAATGATTTTTGTATAGATGATTCTTATGTTGTTATTTGAGAAATATCGCAATTAATTAAAATTTATTGTACTATTCGAAAAAGTGTCAAAACTTACACGGTTTCAATGACATGGGTACTTAAAACTACACGTATATTCATCGACATTAACATGTACATTATATAAAGCTAATGAATTATGCTACGTTAATATAATGTAGCAACATATTGAACGATACATGAAGATAACTTAAAATTGAATATATAGAAATTTCTACATTTATCATTCGATCTGAATTAAATCTTACTTAATCACGACAATATACTTGTTCAGACAGCAGTTTCAAAGATGATATTTGCTCATGCGGCTAAGAAGAGTAGTTTTGCAGAGCGAGTGACACGTTCTGAAACATTATGGACTCTTTATAGATGGCACGCCATATAGATATAGTGATTATTTTTATGATGAATCTAGAGATTTATTCAAAGTAAAGTTTCTTAATTCTAAAAAGCACTAAACATTTCAAAATGAGGAGAGAAAAATTAATATATTCTATCACACACAGTATCAGATCATTGTTTTTCATAGTGATCTCATTTAATCTACGGTAAAGGTTTTCGAAAACTGGAAAAGCAAATGACTCTCAGTCTAATATAAACAGTGAAAGCAGGGTTTCATCTCGGGTGTGGGTGTGAATGTGGGTGTGATTGCTCATGTTGAGAACAGCCGCACCCACACCCACACCCACACACCCACCCCACACCCACCCACGCCCACACCCACACCCCACATCCACACATCCACACGCACACCCTTATTTTCAGAATAAATTCTTTTACGAGATGTCGAATTATCTGTTTTGCTTCGTGACTCATTTTAATTATAGACTTTCTTCACAGAGTTCTTTTACAAAATTGATAGACTTAAAATAACATATGTTAGAAGTTCTTTTCTTTATTTATCCTAGATAAAAGAAAAATAAAATTTCCAAAACCAATTCGGTATAAAAAAATAAAAATTATAATCTTGACGAATTTTTCACATTCATACGTGCTTCTTTCAAATCAATATATGACATTAAACGAGATTCCAATGCCATTCGCATTGCCTAAAATACAAAATTCATATGAATAAATTCAACATATGATTCTAATCTAAATTTTACAAAATTAATTATACATAAAAAATAAAAACTAAATATCATTTCTATTCACAAAAATTCTACTTACATAACCAGATGCTGATGTATCATGAATAAATTTACGTGGATGTATACGATTATATTTTCCAGCTTTAAATGCAAATTTTGAAAATTCTTCATCAGTATGCCAACAATGTAAATGTAAACGATTATTTTTTTCTAAATCATACGGATCTTTACTTGTTGTTAGTTGATCTAATAATGTATGAGCTAAACCTAGATTAATATTTTCACTTAATCTTAAATGATTAATTGCCAATTCACAACCATATAACAAAAGTACACCATAATGCCACTCAGGCCAAAGCTATACAAAGATGATATATATGTCTTGTAAACTATAGGATAATGAAAAATAAAACATACTAATACGCCTAATTTTCTTTGTTGTTCGGCCCGTGTAAATTCATTCATGGACAGATATAACATAGCTTCCAAACTAAAATTAGCAATACGTTGAGCTACACGTGGTGGTCCATACCTAATAGAAAAAGATCTTATGTTTTTTTATTACTATTGTATAAATATTCGTATTGAATAACTTACCATGTTGATCCAATATTAGTTATATTTGCATATAACCAATTCATATGGTGTGCAATACGTCTCAGACGTCCAGTATTAAATGCTGTTGAATAAGAACCACGACCAACAAGTAATATGTCATTGTATGGAATAAAATGACCAAAATATGGTGTTAAAAAAACATCTATATCTGTACGTAAAATATAATCATACATAGCAAATGATGGATAACATTCAGCAATAATATTAATTGAATCTATATATTCATATGTTTGAAGATGTGTTTTAAGTAATATTGAACGATCTATATCAATTTGTTGATAAATGTTATCATCTATCTTATTGATATTTCGTATATCACGTGAACGTATACGTTGATAAGGAAAAACACGACATTGAGGTGATTCATATTTATCTATTCGAATATGATTATAAATACAACCAAGTTGTTGAAGATGTAAAGTAAAATTGCCTGTATAAATAATTAAATCTGTTCGCCATGATGATGATTCATTTTTCATCATTTCAATCCATGAACGATAAAGCCATAATAATTCGGATGCGAAACTAATTTCTTGATCATGTGGATAAAAAATTATAATGCCACGTAATATAGATGATGATAGTGGTTGGTGAATACGAGGAAAATATTCATTACTATTATTATTATTATTAGTTTGTTCTGTTGTGCCATCTACTACTTGTATATATGGAAAGATTTGTGTATTTGATTGGCGAAATACAACTATTGCAACTAGGATCAATGGTACAATAATAAATATCAAGAGAATACGATATATTGGTTTTCTCGTGACAACAGACAACGATATCATCTTGGTTATTTTTTTCTATGATGTTTTAAGGATAGATATAACATTAATAAGTCATTGACATCTGACAGAACCTTTAGTTTGTGTAGTGATTCTTCACATCTGTGACCAAATGTGATAATAGTACAACAAAAACAAAGATCTAATAAACTATATGTGCTATGCATGATAAGAAAAACCTGGCAAGCAGATGAGCATGACGAAGAACAAACAAAAATGTTATTTTTAGATCAATGCTCAGAGTTATGATTTTTATTTATAAGAGTTATTGATACAATTATACTTTCGATTTATTAATTGTTCAAAATGATTTGCTTTGATGAATAAATGATAATTTTCGATCGAATGATTACAAAAAATATGTTTTGAAAAAGACAAAAAACTTTTAATAAAGTTGTCAATTTCTTATCAAACAATAAAATTAACACCATTAGAAAAATCTCTTGGTTTCGTTTTCTTTAAAACTAAATATATTGAAACTTTCGATTGTCTAAAATACCATCAAAACGTTAGATTGTCGAGTTTCAGTGATCCTCATTTCGGCGACACGAATTGTAGCGAAACGCATAATCGACCGAATTTTCAAAATATGATTGGTTATTCTACATTCGAATGAAAAATACCATCATCCTGTACTATTCAAGATCATACAGAAAAAACTGACATATTTCTTTATAATATTCAGTAAAAAACAATAAGGAAAAGAGATGTGGCTTATTGAAACAAATGGTTTGCACGTCGAAAGAGAAAATGTTCTCCTAGTTTCATTTGTGCATGTCTTATTCATGCCACACAATTGAAAATAGAACTATATCAGAAGTATAGATTGAAAAGCTGTGATATGCAAACATGTGTTACAATTTATAATAAAAAAAGCGAAGAATGGTTTTGATTATATCCATACGGAACATATTATTTTAGTAGATCATATCGAATGAATGCAGCGATAGACATTTGAAACAATTATTATTTTTGCATTATATACTATGTGTATAAAGCAAAACCTCTATTAGTGAACATCTTCCAATTCTAAACAATGAACACTATTTCTGGTCCTTTCATCAAAGAAAACCTATACATAGTGAACGTACGCGCCACAAAATAAGTGCGTGTCTATGAAACACGCGAAAGAAAGAAAATGCAGCGTACATTCTGA